TCATTGTTGGGGCTGGCCCCGCCTGGAGGAACACGAACACGAACACACACACACACACACACACACACACACACACACACACACACACACACACACACACACACACACACACACACACACACACACACACACGCACGCACGCATACGCGCGCGCTATCCACCCCTCCAGGGTAGGCTACTCTTGTAGCGTGGGAGTGTGGCCTACCTTGAGGTTACCTTGAGATGGTTTCGGGGTTTAACGTCCCCGCGGCCCGGTCCTCGATCAGGCCTCCTCTTTGCTGGACTGGTCAACCAGGCTCACAGCCCCTCGCCACTCCACAGTATGACGGGGTACTGTCGTGTACCAGTCTAGCTAGTTCGTCGTTGCCGGTCATTCGTGTTCATTCACACGAAGTTCATTCACTCATTCGTCCCTTGACACGTTGGCTCAGAAAGTTTCTTGCTGCCACGCCCAAGAGTTTAGCTCTCCATGTATCTACACCTCCGTGTAGTTCTCCATTCTGCCAGTCTATTTTTCCATGGTTGAAGTCGCCCATGATTAAAGAATCTGGATACATTCCTGTAAGCAACTGAAGCTGCTCTCTCTCTCTTACATTAATGGTTGCCATGTTGTTTCTATCGAACAACTGTCTGGGTCTTCTGTCATTTAATGGAGGGGGTTGTAAATGACTGCTGCTGTTATCGTAGGTCCACCCATTGTTATAGTTCCTGTTATGTAGTCTCTGAATCCTTCACAGTCCACTATATCCATCTCCTCAAAACTCCAGTCCTTCCTTATCAGCAGGGGCCACTCCTCCTCCTTCCTCTTCCCCCTCTTTCCGTACTTTATAGTAGTCCTGCGGAAATACTGCATGTGTTGCGATGCTTCACAGTTTCGTTTCTGTGAGTCCAATTACATCTTGGGTTTCTTCCTTGTGCCTTTTTGGCCAGTTCATTTGCTTCGCTAGTAATCCCATCGATGTTTGAGTACATTCCCTTGAAGCTCACGTTCCCCACTGGTATAGGAAGCCGTTCCATGGGCAGGGCCACATGGGTAGGCTCATCCTAGGCTCAAGCTGATAACTTTGACTTCCCTTATGTCTGACTCGTTCAAGGTGAATATGTGTGTGTGTGTGTGTGTGTCTGTGAAATACGCATTGGAATAGTGTTTTGTTTTAGGGTGTTCATATTTTGTTATCGCTATATTGAAGATGGGGGTGTGGAGGAAGGGTAGGTGGGGGGGGGAGGGGAGAGGAGGCTAAGGGTGAACGCAATAGATAGTTGGGGAGGGGGGGGGGAGCTCAAGGTAAGAGAATGTTATGACATCATTTAGTGTACGTATTGGTCGCGTGGGCTGGAGTGGCTGTATTTCACACCAGTGCCAGCAGCCCAGATTTATGGCTAACCGTGGCACTGCTGCTTGCGTAAGAAAATAGTTTGCATTTGCGTGGCGGAGCGTGCGTGCGTGGTCTGCACGACGTGCGTGCATGCTTGTTTGAGGGCGCGGGTCGAGCAACTGCAAGCAATGGTGACTCGTTGCAACAAACTCACACAGGGAGGCACTCCTGAGAAATCTTGATCAAGGGGTCTAGCTACAAGTTATGCGACGCCCCCCTCCTTTCCACACACACACACACGCGCACACACTCACTCACTCACTCACTCACTCTGGGTGTGCTATATTTTGGTTGTGCATGCCGTATACCTGGAGTTTAAAGGTGAGTACCCCGCGCTGTGCTAGGTTTGTACCTTCCCTGGAGGAGGCGGTCAGTGTTACTCTCTGAGAGGAATTGTGTGTGTGTGTGTGTGTCAGAGTGGGAGGAGAGATAAGGTGAGTGATGAGGCACACGCCAGGTGCAGCAGGGGAGGGAGGGAGGTGTCACTGTGAGGCGCGCGCACACATACACACACATTAGGTGTAGCGGGAAAGGGAAAGTGACAGACAAGAAATGTGCTAATAACCTACTTTATTTGCTGTAAATGGAAGCGTAGGAAGGTAGAATGACATCTTCTGTGTACCTGTAATGGATGGGTGCCACGCGCATAGCTCTCATCCTGTAACTACACTATGGTAATTACACACACACACACACACACACACACACACACACACACACACACACACACACACACACACACACACACACACACACACACACACATATACACACACATATACACACACACACACACACACACACACACACACACACACACACACACACACACACACACACATATATACACACACATATACACACACACACACACACACACACACACACACACACACACACACACACACACACAAACACACACACACACACACACACACACATAAATACCCCAAGATTCACTCTATTTCGAAGCCCTTATACTCTTCCATTTGCCATACAGCCGTATTAGCACATTTTAGACTATTGCATTCTTTTACGTGCACGTTTCCCCCCTTTTTTACTGGATGCCGTGACAAACAAGGGTTTAAGGCGGCTAACTTTAAAGTGGGAGCGTCATGTAAACTATCTTTGTCAAGAAGGCGCGCGCGCAGTCGCTGATATTGGCCAGGAGATCTGTGATAAGGAGTAGACTCTGAAAAGGAGAGGTAAGGATTTTCTCTCAGAGGGGTAGACCAAGGCTGGTCTTGGTGAGCATTGTCAAGTGCTGATTGTTGCGAGGGAGTTAGGTAAGCCTTAATTCGCTGAAGTGGAAGTAAAGTGGTGTATAGGTATCTTGGATTGTTTACATATGCACAGGTGATGTGAATTATGGTTTTTGCGGTAAGGGATTTTACTTCTGTTGAGTACATTAAGGGTTGAGTTGAGTGCAGTGAGGCCCTCCCTCCTGTTGCTGCAGTGAGGCCCTCCCTCCTCGTGTGTGAGAAAATACATCACAAGAAATTAACGTGGCGAAGGATACACCAGAAGCGCTGGGCCCGCCAGCTTTGAGTACAGTTGAGGGCTGGAACATTACTGTATCCTGGAGAGAAGAGGACGCTAAACCTCCCTCCTCAGCCCGGGAAGGAAAGGAACTGATCCTCTCCTTTTGAATCCACGGTTACAAGTAATAGGATCCGGCTCGAGGAATCTGAATCCACCGCCTGTGGAGGTGCCGGTGACGTTCCGCCCGATTCCTCCCGCTGTTGCTCGTTGCTCGCCCAACCACTTGGGCTGGACGGTAGAGCGACGGTCTTCCTTCATGCAGGTCGGCGTTCAATCCCCGACCGTCCAAGTGGTTGGGTCACCATTCCTTCCCACCGTCCCATCCCAAATCCTTATCCCGGCCCCTTCCAAGTGCTATATAGTCGTAACGGCTTGGCGCTTTAGGTTTAAAGCGTTCTGCCAGTTCTATACTCTTGTAGGACTCTTGGTTGACAATCTGGTCACCTTGACTGTTAGACGCCGCTGCGCGCAGTGTGACGTATGAACCACAGCCCAGTAGTTAGGGTAAAAATTGCGGTGATTAGAAGTGTGACGACGTGGGACTGTGAACAGCAGCGTCTAACAACCTAGTTGACCACACCACCTACCAGGAGGCCTGGTCAGGGACCGGGCCGCAGGGACATTGATTTCAGGAACCATCAGAAGGCAGGCAGGCAGACAGATTGAGGAAATCGCAGTGGAGTGGAAAGATCGGCAAATGCATCACACCCAATAGAGTACCTGTTGACCAGACCACACACTAGAAGGTGAAGGGACGACGACGTTTCGGTCCGTCCTGGACCATTCTCAAGTCGATTCATCCCTTCGTTGTCTCAACGTCGTCGTCCCTTCACCTTCTAGTGTGTGGTCTGGTCAACATTAGCCACGTCATTGTGACTCATCGCCTGCAATACAGTACCTGTATTTGCCACTGTTAAAAATACAACTTTATGGCATAACCAGAAACATACAAACCCAAGCAACCCACCTAATCTCCCTAGGCCTATGCACAGAAAGCGTCAGTATTACGGTGCTTTGATTTTGAACTAATACGTCGCATTTTTTAACGGATTGATGGGTTCAGTAAAAAAAAAATCGGAGGTATTAGTTGAGAGAATTGATGATTGGTGAAGATTAAGCCGCCACAAGAGGTGGCACGGGCATGAATAACCCGCAGGTGGTAGATGTTTTGGAGTGAATGTGATCTTTGGTCGAGTTACATCTTGAAGTGTGTCTGGTCCCCGTAGATGAAGGGAAGAGGGGGGGGCCTGAC